CCCGGCAGGGCCGGGCAGGGCCGGGCAGGGCCGGGCGGCCCCGGGAGCAATTCCCGCCGCGCCGCGCCGGGGGCGGGGCCGGGGGCGGGGCCGCGCCGTCCCCACCGGCCGCAGCCGGTTCGGGGGGCGGGTGCGGAGCGGATGGGATGGGGGCTGGGAACCCCCGTCCTCCGCGCCGCTGCCTGCGCTGAGCCTGCCCCTTCCGCAGGGCCCTGCCGTGGGCGGCGGCTTTGCGGGCTTGGAGTTCGTGCTGCCTCGGGAGCCGGAGCCGCGGGCCGCCGACCTAGGGGCCCCGGGGACGTGGGCGGGGGCGGCGGTGGGGCCCCCGAAGCCGTCGGCGCACATCCCGGTGCCAGCGCAGAGGTGAGCCAGGGTGCGGCGCGCCAGGCCGAGGTGGGCGTGCGCACACGTGCGCTGGTGTGCGCAGGGGTGGTGGGTGGGGCGCAGGCACGTGCCTTCTTGAACCCCACCCCACGGGGCGTGGTGGGCTTCGGGTAGGGTAGGTCAGGGCCCCTGGCATGGGGTTTCTGCCCCCTTCCCCAACTCTCCAGCGCTGGAGGAGTGGAGCAGAAATTATCAATACATTGTGCCCCTGGTGCCCCCCAAGCTCTGGGGGCCAGAGTTTAGAGCTGGGAGGGGCCCCTGTCAGTCTCTGTGCACTAGAGCCTGCTCGCTGTTGTGAGGCCGACGGTCCACAGGGCTTCTGACTGCCATCTCTTAGCCCTGCCTAGAAGCGGGGGTGCCCCACACCCAAAGCTTCTCAGGTAGAGGCAGGCTCTGGCCTGGCCTGTCGGGGCCTGGGGACCGGCTTGCGCTTGGAGCCCAGTCTCTCCTGGCGGCCGCTGGCTGTTCCCTCCCTCCCAGGCCTGGCGCAGGCCCACAGCTGCTGTTGCACAATCGTGATTAGTGTGGGGGGAGGGCTGGCCTGGCCTGGCCCGCGCTGGGCCAGGGGGTGGGGCCTCAGACCCCTGTCCAGCTCCTGGGCCTGAAGGACCCACCATGGAACAAAGCCTGGGCGGCAGAGAAGTCAGGCTTCACGGAGACCCCAGCCCAGGCGCTGTTTCTGCTGGTTGCTGGAGATTTGGAGCTGTGTAACCAGAGCTGGGGGTGGAGACGGGCCTCTAGCCCAGCGCCTGGAGGGAGGGAGCTGGTGAACCCCCCCCCCCACACACACAGTGCCCAGGCCTGCGCGTGTGCTGGGCCAGGGGAGGAGCCTGACACCACCCGCACCTCTTCCAGGGCCCCCGCCGGACAGTCCCGACTGGATGAAGTCATGGCTGCAGCTGCCCTCACAAGTCTGTCCACCAGCCCCCTCCTGCTGGGGGCCCCAGGTGAGACTGTGACAGGCGACCTGGGTAGGGAGGGCAGGACCCCTGTCTCTCCAGGCCCCTAGAGTTGCCCGCGCCTTGGGGCAAACAGAACCCCTTTGCCTGGTCTGGCACCATCTACGTAGGTCTCTTGAGGCCCAAGACAGACATCAGGACCCCCGTGCCTCTGACTGAGGCCAGAGCCAGTGTCCCAGGCCTGTGGGCCTGGGACCTGTCTGTTCCCCCCCGCTGGCCAGGCATCTCCCCACATGGGATGTCTGTGTACCTGTCCCCGTGCCGGGAAGGCCGGTCTGCAGGCGGTGAGGGCTGGCTGCTCCCGGCCACTGCCTCCTCCAAAGGACTGTGCTCTCAGGCTCAGAGTGAAGGGGCCTGTGGGGGCAGCTCCCGCAGTGAAGCCTGAGCCAAAAGTCCTACCACGGGTGCTGGCGTGTCCCCACAGAGCCTGGCCCGGAGCCCTGGAAGGAGGCCCTGGGGCGGCCCCGGCACAGCTGCAGCAGCAGTGGCAGCAGCGGAGACTGGGGCTGGGACCTGGCCAGTGACCTGTCCTCTCCATCTATCCCCTCGCCCCCGCTGCCGTCTGAGGCAGCCCATTTCCTGTTTGGGGAACCTGCCCCAAGGAAGAGGAAGGTGAGCCTGAGGCGGCCCTCAGGGCGGGGTGGACGTGGCGGCCGGGCCTGACCACCAGCCCTTGTCACCCAGAGCTCAGTGCAGGTCCTGTTCCAGTGTCTGTGGAAGCGGTGTGGGAAGGTGCTGAGCACGGCCTCCGGGATGCAGAGACACATCCGCCTGGTGCACCTGGGGTGCGGCGGGGCTGGCCGGGGGGGGGGGGGGGGGGGGGAGGCCAAGCCAGGCGGGACGAGGGCTGCAGCTCCCACCCACCGTGTCCCCAGCAGGCGGCAGGCGGAGCCAGAGCACAGCGACGGGGAGGAGGACTTCTACTACACAGAGATGGATGTGCTGGCCGACGGGCTGTCCAGCCTGTCCCCCGCATCCCCCACGGCCTCCGCACCACCCGCCTTCCCCCGCCTGGACCTGCCAGAGCCCCCGACCCTGTCCAGCCTGCTGCGCCCGCTGGCCCTGCCCCCGGTCCCTGTGCTGAGTTCTGGGGCACCCCCTGAGGTGTGCCGTGGTGACGACACCTACCAGGTGGGTGAGGCCACAGGCAGCCGCTCTGGGTGAGTCTCAGGGTGCTTGGGATGGGGGAGAGGACACAGCTGTGTCTCCTTTCAGGGCTGCCTGGCCCCCATCGGCCTGGAGCCACAGCCCACCACTGTCAGGACCTGTGTGCCAACCCTGCCCTCCAAGCTTGGTGCCAACCCGAGGTGCGTGCGTGGGGAGGGGCCGGGGCAGGTGTGCGGGGGAGGGAGGGCGCGGAGCCTGGCATCAGCCCGTGTCTCCTCTGTGTCTCCCCTAGGAAGCCGCGTGGTGACGCCAAGAAGTGCCGGAAAGTATATGGCCTGGAGCGGCGGGACCTGTGGTGCACGGCCTGCCGCTGGAAGAAGGCGTGCCAGCGCTTCCTGGACTGAGCGCCTGCTGGTGCTGCGGCCCGCCCACGGGACTCCGCCGGGAGGAAAGCAACCGCCACCGCCTCCAGCCCTGGGCTCTTCCCGCCACAGGGTCTGCTTCTTGATGGTGGGGAAAGTTGGTGACCCTGGACCCCCGAGGCTTGGGGGAGGTCCCACCACTCAAAGTGCCTCTGAAGAAACCAGCCTTTTGCACTAACCCTCAGTGGCTGGCCCCTTGGCCCGGGGTCCCTGGGTGGGGGGTGCCGCCTGCCCTGCCTGCCAGCCCCCGGACTTGTCGGGGCCACGTGGGGGCCGGCCTCTGATGCACTTGGAGGGGTCCCTGCGGGGGGCCACCCGCCCTGCCTGTCAGCCCATGGACTTGTGGGGGCCGGTCTGTGATGCACTTTGAGGGGGTGTCGTGGGGGCCTCCCCTGCCCACACTTAACCCAGTGGTTCCAGGGAGTGACGTTTGTGTCGTGTTTGCGAAGCTCAGGTGTCTCGAGTCTGGGCCGCGCCAGGCAAGGAGAAAAATTAAAGATTTGGGTTTTTCCAGAAGTCGTGTCTGCATCCTGCGGGGGGCGGGGGACGGAGACCCTGCCAAAGGCAGGGGTGGTGGGTGGGCAGACCCAGGAGGCCCTGACACAGGAGGAGGGGCGCCGTGAAAGACTCAGGAGGCGTCCGCTCGAGCCGCAGTTTCCCAGTTTATTGGAAGTGGAAGCTTTGCAAGAAGGTCGAAACTAACCCGTCACAGGAAGGAGGGCCCTGGGCAGGCCCAGAGCGGCCACTGCAGACGGGAAGGGGCTGTGCCCTGCCCTGCGGCTGCGGACTGCAGCGGCTGCGATTTTCTGCCGACCGATCACAGACGTCTCTTCTCCCAAACAGTAAACACATCTCCAGTACAAACACAGGCGTAGGGTAATCACTATAAAGTGGGTATAATATAGATTGTCCCCAAGGGGGGAAGAACAACAATTTTCAAACACTGCCCTTGTCTGTCTGTTTTGCTTTTGTTGACAGGTTGAGAGCATGTTGGAAAAATAAATATTTAGGAAAAGCGCACACACAGCGCCCTCACTACAAGGAGTTCTGGAAGGGACACACACAAAACACAGTATAGAACCCAGAAAATAAAACCAACCAGTAAGTATGGCTTTCTTAAGCATCGCACACGTCACAGAATGAGCGAAAATAAGATCATCTTTCATCATATTGCAAAAAGTTCCAGTTTTTGCATTTTCTCAGAGTTTCTTTTCTAAAAAGGAAGATGTGCAAAGTCGGAAGGAGTAGCTGTGTCTCGAGTCGAGGTCCCTATTCAGTCCTGGCAGTGTTACGACTGTTTCCCAAAACCCAGAGTCCAAACATACAACCCGGTCAGGATCCAGAGCTTGATACAAAAGTCCTATGGGTTCCCTGTCCCCCCCACCACAAAGAACTCACCACTCAACGCACTGCATTTTCCACTTTGGTGTTGCAAACACCAAAATACAGACAGACACGAACAAAAAAGTACAAAACGTGAAATGTAATCTACACATTTTTTTCCTCTTCATAAAAAAATATTTATTAGGTTTAAACATTGATTTAAAAAAAAAAAAACAGTCACGTAAAAAAACCCTTCATCACACGTCTTTTCCCTCCACGCCTCCTGAGCGGGGCGCGTTCACCTCCACAAACCGGCCAGCCGCCCGGCGCACGCCCGGCAGACTAGGTGGGCAGGGGTGGGGCCCTCAGTCTTCCAGTACAGTGTTGGTTTTAAGGAAGAAAATGCCCCTGTGGCACTGACAGCGACCCCCCGAAAACGTCAGCAAGGGTGGTCCGGAGCAGGGAGCGGCGGGTCAGAGAGAGCGAGATGTCCTGAGTGCGAGGCAGAGGTGGCCCAGGGTGTGGGCGGGAGGGCCTGAGCAGTGGAACCAGTACAAAACCCAGAGACACTGTTGGTAGCAAAGGTCTGGTTTCCAAATACATTTGTAAGAAAGGAGGTCTGTTTAGAAAAGGGGTCAGAAAGTCGGGGAGGTACACAGTTCTGAGGGCCCCGTGAGGGGTGCACCCCAGGGCCTCACTGGTGAAAGGCAGCAAGGGAAGTGTGTCCCAGAGCCCTGCACTGGCCTCGCCACTTCCATGTCAGGAAGGGCGGGCTTCGTCCCCACGTCCCCACGGAGGATAGGAGTGCAGGCGGCCCCGTCCGCGCCCTCTATCTGGGGGTGCCTGGCTCCCCAGCAGCCACCCCGGGCGAGCACTCCAGGCCACCACCGGAACCCAAGTTAGGGACTCGTGGGATTCTCCTGTTTACACCTAAAAAGAATAGATGTGACTTGGCGGCCAGCCGCATAGCAGCTGACAGCCGTGGACAAAGAGAACAAGAACACGGTCTTCAGCAGGGGCCTCCGCCAGGCGGGCGCGGGACGGAATGTCTGAGTAGAGAAGTGAGGTTCCCGGTGGACGGGCGGGAAGGGGACAGACCAGGGTGGGTCCTGCGGCCCAGGGGACGGTCCTCCCAGCGGGGCCCTTGCTTTTCACTCAGAAAACACCGGAGTGATGAAGAGGCGGTGAGCTCATCTCCAGAGACAACGGATGGACCGACAAGCGGAAGGTAAGACAACGCCAGGCTTCGTCACGTCAGAAAAATAATGCCAACGACATAATTGTATGCAACTACCTCAAATACGTCTCCGACGACTTAAAAAGTTTGGTTACCCACGCGGGGAGGTGTGAGCAGCACGTGGCAGTCAGGTCCCCACCCCCACTGTTAGCAGCAACAAGGCAAGGGCACCCGGGGGTGTGAGCGGGAGTGGCCTGGCCAAGACGGCGGGGCCGAGGGGCCGAGGCCGCCCCGGGCTCCCCAAGGAAGTGCGGAGCGGAGAGCCCGGGCGCCCCGAAGGGACCTGAGTGGCCGGCAGCGGGGAGCTCTGAGCCCTGCGCCAGAGGAGCGTGGCACGTCGGTCCCCACCCGGCCACCTCCACGGGAAGATAGCACCTGGGAGGCCTCGGCCTGGCCGGGGCTGCTGCAGCTGATCGACGGGAAGCACCAAAGCCCAGAGGCGGGAGGGCCCCAGGGCTTCCTGGACACTGGGCCTGGGTTCCGCGAGGAATGGCCACAACTGCGGCAGAAGCTGTGGCGGTGGCCGTAGGCAGTGACCAGGCTGCTGAGAAAGGGCGAGCAGAGCAGGGGGTGGGGGGTGGGGACTCCAGCTCTGGACATCGGATGTATGCAACACCTTCCTTAACGTCCCTTGGACCTGTGGCCTCGGGGACGACGCTCAGGACCCCGACCTGCCCCGACCATGACCTGGTCATCTGGCCATCGTGCGTCCTGAGGCCTGGCTGGCCACATGGGCTCCCTTGATGCCCTGGCCACACGTACCTGCCGGGGACCCTCCCTTCGTCCCCGCAGACACGAGGGAACGTGTGCTCTCCCTCTGCTCAAACCCACCCTGTGCCCCCCAACGTCCTGTTCGGTCCTGGAGCCCCGACTCACTGGGGTCATGCCTGCCTCAGAGCCCGCGGGCTTCCGTGTGTGTCTGGGGGCAGGAGCAGAACAAAGGGGGGTCAGCGTGGTCTGGCCCCAGGTGAGAGCAGATCCCTAGGGAAACACACGTGCACACGCACACACACACACGCACGCACACACGTGTGCACACACACACGCATGGTGGAGGGGTGGCATGGCCACGGCCCCACCCCCAGGAGGGGTGGCAGGGCCCTCACCCCGCGGCCTAGGAGATCCAGGAAAAGTCCTTGTCGGGCGCGCCCGGGGGGCTGCCGGGTCCCGGCGGTGAGTCCTCGTCCTCCTTCTCGGCCACCAGCAGCGCATCCTCGTGGGCCAGGCCCACCTCGTCCTCGTCCTCACACAGCTCCTCCTCGCCCTCCCCCCGTGGGTCGTCCGGGTCCTCCAGGTAGGGCCCATCGCCAGGGAACAGCTCAGGGGAGCCCTCAGTGCCGCCGCCGTCCAGGGGCCCGGCCACACCTCGGCCCGCGCAGTCAGCACACACGCCGTGACGCCGTGAGCCATGCTTGATGCCCACGCTGGCGGCCGACATGAACACACGGCTGCACAACTTGCACACGTACTTCTTGTCCTTGCTGTGGACCTGCGGGGGAGGGGTGGTCAGCGCGGGGGGATGGGCAGTCAGTGCAGGGGATGGGCAGTCAGGGGGGATAGGTGGTCAGCGCGGGGAAGGGGGAGGGGGTGGTCGGTGCAGGGAGCAGGAAGCTGCAATTTTAATTCCTCAGGGTTTTCGGAGTCTCTGGCGTCCAGAGCACTCAAGTAAATGAAAATACAGCGAGTGGTGTCAGGGTGGGAAAAGTTCGCTGAGCTGCGTCTTCCTCCACACCCGGAACACACCCTCACCAACGGGTCCCTGTCCTGGGGGCTGGGCCCTTAGAAGGGGCCCCTTCCCCGTCCTGGCCGGAGGGCTCCTTGTCGCCCAGCGCAGGGGCTCCACAGGCAGCCGTGAACGGTCCCCGCCCACGGAGACCACCGCTCCATGGTTCGCGGCCGCCCAGCGTCCACTGGCTGGGTCCCCACACGTCCTGAATCTAGAAACGGAGCCTCAAACAACGCGGTCCCTGGAACCCTCCCGTTTGTCTCTTCCGTTTGTTCGATTTTCCAGCCAGGGCCCCCTCGACCCTCCCCTCACAGAAGCTGTTCTGAGAGCCGGCCAGGCTACGCCGGGGGAGGCAGCGTCCACGGACGCCCCTCAAGACCCAGGGCTCCCATGCAGGGAGCCGGGGGCTGTGCCAGGATGGCCCAGAGCGACAAAGGCGTCGCGGGGAGCCCCTTGGCCGGCACCAGATGGTCGGGCACCTGTCCTAACAAGCACATGGAGGAGAGAGGGAGGCTGTGGGCACCGTGGCAATCCAGGGCTCGTCCTCAATGGGAGGCCGCTCCTGAGACACCCCCCACCCCCAGCCCCTACCCCCACCCCCCTCCAGAGGACTCCTGGCGCGGCTGCCCCAGTCCCTCCCACTGCACGAGGACGCCGAGTGCCCCTACTGCCACCTGCTGGCAGACGCTCAGCAGCTTCTTGGGGTCGGGGCTCCCAACAATGAAAGGGGAAGACACAGAGCCTCTTCTCAGAAAAAGGCAAACCTGTACACATTTTAAGTACATTTTCAGGGATTTATGTTCCTCCCTGAAGCCCAAGCAGGACCCCAGGATGGAAATCTTGCCCCATCCCAGGCAAACGGCAATGACCACGCAGAGCCTCCGACAGGACCGTCTCCTGCAGCAATAACGTGGTTTTGCTAGGGAAAGCCGTTGCAACCTGTGGAGCCACAACCTCCAGCACCTGAGTGTGACCAACCAGCCACCGTTCACCTCCGAGTAGGACAGCGTGGGCATCGGCGCATGTGTCCCCCCAAGTTTCCGTGATAACGTGAGCCTCTGTGGCTCTCAGGGTGGGCTCCACAGAGGGGCCGCATGGACGAAAGGCCAGCTCTGCAGTCGGAGGCATCAAGTCAGCCGCAGCGACTGCCTCACAGACCTGCCGTCCAGGCCGGGGCTACCGCTTCCCCCGCTGCTGGACCCCATGGCAGGGGTGGGGGGACCCTGCAGGCCAGGCCACGGGACATCCCTCGGTCAGCTGGGCTGGGCCCCCCTACCTCTTGGGGCTGTCCCCCCTCCATCTTTGCTGCCTGACTTCATGGGAGCCTTCCCAGGTGTCCTCACCCCCAAATAAGAGCCCCCACTGGGCTGGAAAATGAAACAACACGCTAGTAAGGTTGCTCCGTGCAGAGAGCCAACGGGGGGTCCAAGCAGAGTAAATCTGGATGCGACCCCAAAGTGAGGCAGAGCCCCCCACGCACCCCAGATGGACACACACAGGCAAAGACCCCACTCGTCCACACGGCTCCCCTCACCAGCAGCCAGGCCTGAGGGTGTCACCCGGCCCTCCCCCAGCCACCTGCTGCCCTTGCGCTAGGGCACCCCAGGTCCCCCCTACCACGGCCAACACAGCCCTCCCATACCTCCTGGGGGTTCTCAGCATGCTTCAGGGTCAGCCAAGTCTGTGCCCTGAGGACGACTCCTGACACCTTGCAGATTCCCAGACTCATGACATCACCGTGATGCCCTCTCCCGGCCCCTGTGGCACAGGCTGAGGGCTCTGGGCATCTGTCACCCAGGGCCGCCTCCACTGCGTCAGCCCTGCAAACTCCAGCTGGCCCCACTCTCAGCCCTGAACCCTGCCTTGAGTGTGAGTCTCAAGAAGATGACACTGTTGGGGCACCTGGTTGGCTCAGTGGGTTAAAGCCTCTGCCTTCGGCTCAGGTCATGGTCACAGGGTCCTGGGATCGAGCCCCACATCGGGCTCTCTGCTCGGCGGGGAGCCTGCTTCCTCCTCTCTCTGCCTGCCTCTCTGCCTACTTGTGATCTCTGTCTGTCAAATAAACAAATAAAATCTTTAAAAAAAAAAAATCTTAAAAAAGAAAAAAAAGATGACACTGTGCACAACCTTGTGGTCCAGCCCTTGCCCCCATGGTTCATCTCGCCTGCCCAAGGCTCCCTTGCCCTGCGCGTTTTGGCAAATCTGCCTCCGTGTTTCAAGGACGACCTTCTATCACTCCTTGACCGAGTAAATGCATCCATTCAGCACCTGCCGGCTGGGTGCCACCACTGCCAGGTAACCCAACACTTACAAGGCCGTGGGGGAGCCGGGGGGTCCCACCATGACTTGGAGCCGGGGCACTGGAGGAAGTGACGTGGTGGGACACGAGGGGCCCAGGGCAGGGGTCCTGGCAGGGGAGGAAGCACTTGCCAAGGCCTGGCTGGAGCTTGCCAAAGCCAGGCCGAGCTCTGGGGCTGGGGGTGCTATGGCCCACCTGCTTTCTGGCCCAAGTCTCATGGGGTGGAGCTTCTCAGGAAGGGTGGGGGTCAACATGGCTCCACCTACTCAACTGGCCTTCCCCCTGCAGAGCAGAACCTGCTTTAGGGCTTCCCATGGCCTTCTGGGCACCCCGCATCATCATCCCAGCTTCCTGGACCTCTCAGCCCGGCACAGAGTGGGCCCAGCTGACCCCATGAGGACCCCACGCTAACTACCCTCCACTGACCATCATGCCAGCCCCATGCCGACCCCGTGACAACCCCATGCCGACTCCATGATGACCCTGTGACGACCCATGCTGACCCATGCCGACCCCGTGACAACCCACGCTGACCCATGCTGACCACGTGATGACCACACTGACCCCACGCTGACCCATGACAATCTATGCTGACCCCAGGCCTACCCCGTGCGACCCTGTGGTGACCCATGCTGACCCCATGCTGACCCCAGGTCCACCCCATGCTGACCCTGTGACGACCCATGCTGGCCCCATGCTGACCCCGTGCTGACCCCACGATGACCCATGTTGACCCCACGATGACACCATGCCGACCCCATGCAACCTTGTGACGACCCACGCTGACCCCATCCCGACCCGGTGATGACCTTATGACAACCCATGCTAACCCCATGCTGACCCCGTGATGCCCCACACTGCCCCATGCTGACCCCGTGATGACCCACGCTGACCCCATGCTGACCCTGTGATGCCCCACACTGCCCCATGCTGACCCCGTGATGACCCACGCTGACCCCATGCTGACCCCGTGATGACCCACGCTGACCCCATGCTGACCTGTGATGACCCACGCTGACCCCATGCTGACCCGTGCCGACCCTGTGACGACCATGCTGACCCTATGCCGACCCTGTGATGACACATGCGACCCCGTGCCGACCCCGTGTCGACCCACGCTGACCCCACGCTGACCCCCCGCCCCCACTCACCAGCGTGTGCCGCTTCATGTGCTCGCGCCGCGTGAACTTCTTGCCGCAGATCTCGCAGGGGTAGGGCCGCTCCCCGGTGTGGGAGCGCATGTGGCGCTTGAGGATGCACTGGTGCATGGCCGAGAAGCTGCAGTAGGGACACTTGAACTTCTTTCTGATCACCGTGAACTCGTTCACTGGAAGACAGCAGACCCGCGAAGTCAGTGAGCCGCCCGCCCCCGCCAAGCCCGCCCGGACGCCCCCATGAGGCCCGCGCGTCCCACCGAAGGTCGGAGGCCGCTGCTTCCAGCACCGCCGGCCACGGGGCCGTGAGCGTCCGAGACCCCGTGAGCGCCGCACACACCGTCGGAACGGAAAACGACAGTGTGATGACACGTGAAGCCAGAGTCCGGGCCCAGCCTGCAGCTCCGCTCAAGCCCACGGGCCGCTGGGGGCCAGGAGCCACGGGGCAGAGCTGGCCCCTCCAGGCACCCGCAGGCCGGCGGCACTTTTAGTGTCCGGAGAGAAGGTGCCATCTAAGCAGCTGGGGGCACAGCCGAGGGAGAGGCTCGGGCCAGCCCCCGATGTGCAGCAGGACCACCGAGTGGCCTCTGTCCCGGGTGTGACCCCTTCTGCCTGCATTTCAGGGAGTGACGCCCGGGCCCCAGAGGGGTCATCCTGTGACCTGCTCAAGCGCACGGCAGCGGCCGCATCCCATACCAGGACGCGGCCACACCCTCAGAGGCACCTTGCCCACACGCCAGGGCGTCTCCTAGTGGGGATCATGGGGGCTGGGGTCCCATGCATCAGACCCACTGTGCAGCGCCCCACCAAGCACGGGGCAGCTTATCCTGAGTGGTGCCCTCTGCGATGGGCACCCCAGACACCACAGTTAGCCGCTCTGGAACACACAGAGCCTCCACTCGTAACTCCATTAACCTCGAGGCCTGGACGCAGTCGTCCCAGACTTCACCAGGATCGCTGGGAGCGGCCAGGGCCTGGGATCTCACTTCCTGCCACACGAGGAGCCCGGTGGTGGACACCTGTCCAGATGCATTTTCCCAGGGCCCTCACGCTCTGCAGCCCAGATGGTACCCGGCCGGCTGCACATGGCACCAGCACCCCAAACACAGGCCAAAGGTCCCCACAGTCACGAACACTGGCCAAGGCCAAAGGCAGGCTGCTGGAATGAACCCCAGGAGGGGTGCGGACACCATCAGCCCAGCGGTCGTCCACTGGGTCCTCCGAACCCTACCAAATGTCCAAGTGTGGCAGGCTCTGGCCACAGTCACCACTGCCCCTGGAGGTGCCCAGGCAGCAGATAAGAAAACAAATGCCCCAGAGTGACACAGCCCAAGACAGCGGGACCCAGCAAAGCTGAGGTGACTCAGAGCCTGGGTCCCTCTTGCAGGAGGAAGCAGCCAATCTACTGGAAGGATGACCACCTGTCCCCACAACCATGGGCTGCCCACCATGCCACCCAGTAGCAGGGGCCCTCACTGCCATCTCCATGAGCCATGCCCATGGCCCCGAGACCCATTCTGCTGTTCACGCCCCAGCCATGGGCATGTCCGCGCCGAAACGACAGCAAGAGGGGTGCAGAGTGGCAGGAAGCACACTGGCTCCCGGGCTCCCTGTGCCGAGCTGGCCCTCACTGCTGCACCTCTGCCCCTAACACACGCCTGCTTCAGTGTGTGGAAACACTGTGTTGCTCTCTCTGCTCTACGCTCAACGTGGGGCTCGAACTCACAACCCTGAGATCAAGAGTTGCACACTGCACCACTGAGCCAGCTGGACGCCCCAGAGCAGTCTCCAACTTTTTTTTAAAGTGTTTCTTGCACGAACCCTTAAAGGGTATCTAAATATGCAAGCATCCCGGATTTCTTTCATTTCCACGGGCGGTGGTGCGAGCCCGTCCTCCTACCGGGTGCCTAGAGCTCCAGGCCCTGGTGTGAGAGTTGGTCCTCACAGGACACCCTTCCAGGATGACCTCTAGGCATCCTCAGGCCACCACGGCCCCAACACTAGGCTGTGTGGACTTGATCACAGCTCACAACCGACACCACTGCCTGGAGCCTGGCTGCCCGCTCGCCTCGTGGTCTCCGTGCCCATAAGAGGGACGCTGCATCCCCCCAACACCTCTCTCAGAAATCTGTCCTGGCCAAGGCAGTACAGCATTTGCTCACAATCAGAAGCTCTGACCATGCGTTTGCTGGCACCGGGGCGCGTGTGCGTGTGTGTGGCGGGAGCTGGGGGCGGGACGGATGCTGCAGCTGTGCCGTGGGGAAGACAGCAAAACCAGAAGGCCGCAGGGGGCACAGAAGGCACGTGGCAGCCCACGTGCGCCCCGCGTCCCGGCCACGAGGACCACCTTAGCTAACAGCTCAGCGTCTGACCTCGAGTCTCCTTTCTACACACAAACAGGTTCTAGATCGCAGACTGGAACGGTGACGTACAGTCACGCAGGCCACAATTCTGCTAACATGCGGTGGGCGGCTGTCCATGCCGCCATTTCAGCGACGGCCCGCACGGGTCTGGGGCCCTCACTGACCTAGCAGAGACCTTCCTGTGGGACGTCCACGCCACACCCGCCGCTCGGCCCCCGCGCACGAGTCCATGAGCTCCCCGACGGGCGCACCTCTCCTCGCCTCCTGCACGCACAGCCTGAGAAGAGGCACGGGCCGTCTTGTCTGCTGCCCTCAGCCGAGGTGCAGGGAGGACCCCTGAAGCCACACAGGTGTGACGGACATCGGTCCCCGCTGTCATCGTACACGCTCTGCAAGCCTGGCCTCTGGGCTGGAGGAGAGAGCTGCAGGAGTTTCTGGGGTTTCCGTGCAGCCAGAGGGGAGCTGCCCTTCCTAAAGGAGGGCCTCGAGCCAGGGGGAGCTCAGGCTGCGGCCCCCGGAGCAGGGCTCCAGCACCCCCACAGCGGGACCGAGTCAGGGAAGCCGCGCAGCCCGCACACCCGATGCAGCTGGGCCGGCCCGCAGACCAGGCCTGCCAGGGCCCGCCCCCTTGGCTCTGCACCTTCGGTCCTCCTCAGGGGTTCTCCAAGGCCCCGTGATCCCACTTTTCATCTTACACCAAATAAAGCAAAGGCACCACCCACTCTGGGATGGAGGGGAGAAGAGGAAGTGAACTCTTACCTTATTTTATTTAAAGCAACCTTTTTTGAGAATATTTGTTCATGGCCTCTATTCTGCCTCTATAAACGTGCAAGTTAAAATGCCGAATTATGTATTCTAGCCTTCTGTACTCAGCAACTTGGACTTACACGTGAAAAAGAACTGATTTCTGTGCAGAAGTGCTGCATTTTTTCCCTAGAAAAACAACGGAGAATGCACAGGCATGAGTGTGGCTGTTTGTTAGGGACCCTCCCTGGCTGGGAAGAGAGCCCGCACAGGGCTCCAGACACTAAAAATGCACACTTTCTGAAGCAAAGATGACAATGTTGGCTTTTTCTTATTATGTTAGTTTCCTGCCTCCACTGGAACACCAGGAGCGGGACAGTCGAAGGTACCACAGAGCTACCTGTCTGTAGCTGGGGAGCCAGAGTCTGGGACCCAGGTGTCGCAGGGCTGTGCCCCCTCTGGAGGCTCCAGGGAGGGTCCTTTCTGCCCCTTCCAGCTCCTGAGGGTCCAGGTGTGCTGGACTTGTGGCCACATCTTCCTATCTCCGCCTCCTTCGTGTGGCTTCTCCGTGTCTGGGTCTCTCCTCTTCTGTCTCTTATAAGGACACTTGTCATTGGATTTAGGTCCAACTTGGATATTCCAAGATGTAGTTATATCTGCAAAGATCCTTCTATCCACATAGGGTCACATCCACAGGTTCCGAGGGTTAGGACGCGGACGCAGCTCTGGCATGGGGGACACCATTCCACCACCTCCGGGAACGAACAGCACTGTGAGCACTAAGGGAATTTTCACTGGCTGTCGTGATCGAAACAACTTCTTCTTGGAAAGAACCTAACACTTCCAGAACCTGTGACTTACAGTCTGTGTGTGTTCGGAAAACTTGCCACAGCTCACGGTTTTCTTCTCATGAACGCTGAGAGAGCCTGAGAAGGTCAACGGTGACAGCGTCATTGAAATGATGGAAAAGCATAAATCCCGTCCAACCGAAGCAGACGCTCGCGGCCGCTCTGTCTGAACCGGAAGCCCTCCCTGAGACCTAGCGCTCCGGGGCGCACAGGAAGCTTATGACCAAGAAGCAGGTTCCGATGCCGCACCAGACTCCGCAGAGCAAGGAGCCCAGTGACACCTGACTCCAGTGTTGCAGAAATGCATCTGTAGGACGCCTGCTCGGCAGCCGCCACCTGTCCTTGACCCCCCACCCCGCCCTGCAGCCCCTCAGGAGGGTCGAACCCACCGGACAAGCGAACACTCCAGAACCATTTCATGATCACCTCAAAGCCTCCAGGGAACCGCTGGCGATGCAGACGGGATCTGCGGACGGCTACATGAGGCGGTTTCTCCAGAAGGGCACACGAGTCTTCCCTCACGACCATCGCATTTTCACTCGGCTTCTGACTGTAATTTTCAAACACTGCACTTCAAGTGCATTTCAGAAACAGGTCCAAACAGGAACCCCACTTCGTTTTTCTGATAATAAGTTTATTAACTTATAAGCTGCCAATTATTTTGTGTTAGAACATAGCGAAGCTCCGATGTGTCCAAACTACTTTTGAAAGGTTTTCTAACCCTACAGGAAGTGCATACCGCTGACTTACGTGTGCCAGACATCCGCGTTGGGACCTCGCATTTGTGGGATCACACACTCAGGTTCAGCCTTATTCACTAGCAGAGTCAGCGAAAGTCACCGCGCGGCTGTCTGGAGCAGCGGCTTGCTCTCGCTTGTGGCTGTGCTGTATTCCATGGTACGACGCCAACCCCCCGCCCCGCCGCGTGCGCCGAGGGGCACCCGACCTCATGGACCGTGGTGCTCGGACGGCTCCCAGACACGTCTTCTGCTGAGCAGGCTCTGATTCCTCTTGGGCATACGCCTAAGAGAGGACTATCTGGGCCACAGGGCACTTGCAAGTTCCATTTCAGCAGACGGGGCCAGGCAGTGTTTCACGTGGCTGCATCAGTCTATGTCCCCTCCAGCAGCGCACGAGCGTCCCAGGGGCTGTGTACTGCAGAGGCCTGGCTCGGGCGGTCTGCGGGTCTCTGTCCTCCGGCCTGACGCACACCGCGAG